ATTTTAAAACAATTTATTGTTTATATTTGCTGTGGCTGCTTTATTTATTCCCAAGCTTCAAAGTGATTTTATTTCTTTGCATACAAAAAGTCATTTTGGATACATAGTATATATATTTATATATGTATATATATATTTTTTTTTTGTTGGCTATATAGGCAATTTCTTAGTCTAAGCGTAGTTACACGATTTATAAGAGTTTTTCGTTTGTATACAACATTTGCAATGCACTAAAACGGATCGTAGGTAAAAAACAATTCGCAAATTACATAGAATAAAATATCAAAATTCGATTACAATAATGCAATGTTTGTAAATTACATACAATAATAGGGTAAATAAATTTCATTAAAATATACATTGTTTTTATCAAACTATAGCTAATTTTTTTTATACAAATTTCTTCGTTTTATTTATTTATTTTTATTTATATTTTTTATTTTATTTGATTAAATTTAGCTCGTTTTCTTATATTATTTATACGACACTTGGCTCAGAAGCATTCAATCACTCAAAGGCACAATTAACAAATAGAATTTCAATTAAATTAATCTTTTTCTAATCAATGCCTAAGTTTCGTTTATTTGTTGCGCGCTTGTCTTGGAATTGTGGCTTAAATATAATTCAGATGGTTTTATTTACAATTGAGAATATTGTATATGATTATAGAGCGGTTCATGTAATTGTGTGTAATATGCATGTGGACCTGTTGATGAGGATACGTAATGTGCTATAACTAACTGTCTAGAAGTGGTCCACCTTGACGGACACTGTGTGGGCAGCCGCATTGCTGGGCAAGTCAATATTATCCCATTCGGTATGTAGATTCTTCTCGCTGTCCGTCGCCTTCAGCGCCAGTCCCAATGATGCAGTCCGTCCGGCACAGTGGGGTATATTGAGCGTCACGGGCACCAGAAATTCAAGGCCCTGCGGCCCGCACATGACAAGTGGCGATAGCATCGTTTCACCTGCGGGGAATATTAGACATTGATTAAGACTTATCTCATCGGTATATGTCATAAAAGCCGATTGCAGATGCTTGTGTTGGTGTGTGTAATTGCTTTTGAGAAGCAGCAAAATAACAAGAGAGATTTGTGTGTTTCTAAGTGTTAAAGGGCTAGTGTAGTAAGAGAAATATATAGAAGGGTGTAGCATAACATTTATCT